GGGGCAAGTAAGCAAACTGCGGAATGGCTTGCATGTACAGTGCAATGCGATCGCGAAGCTTATCAGCCAGCATGGTTGCAAGGATCTTGCTCCCTGGTGGCAGCAAACAGATTGGACGAAGTTGCTTCGGCATTCTGACTTCCGAAACCTTGGGTATCAGGCAGACAGTTATGTCATGCCAACTGGCGGGGAGGCAGGGGGCTTCACGTTGCAACGATGCTTCTAGAGCACGATGTATGCCCGGCGCAACTTCCGCAGCACAAACGCGCCAGAGTGCCGCAGGGGCACTCTGCGGAGGCAGGGCTTTTCTAGGTTGAAGTTTGTGTAGGGCTGCTAGAACCTCATCTGGAGAGAATCGGCTCATGGGCCCACTAGGGGGGTGCATATGTGGATCAGGACCATAAATGCCTCTGAAGTAGTCAGTGATGGCCTTCAGTTCACCATCCTGCGACATGAGCGCGCCTTCCCCATCACGAATTTGCACTCTCAGTCGACGAGATTTAGGCGCCAAGCGCTTGACCACCTGATATATGCCAGCAGGCCCCTTGCTTGCATCAGCAAGCTGCAGCTGACGTTCAACCTTATCCCTTTTGTTGTGCTTGCATCGCCTGTGTAGCTCTTTCTGAAGCCTTTGTACGCGCAAGGCCTGTCTCCATCCCGTAAAGAGGGACGAAATGGTTCCTCTCCTGAGCTGACGCAAGCTGCTACGCGCCTGCCACAAATCCCTGATAAGCTGCGTTGTGGGCGCCGGGGCAGGAGCATCAACAGTCTCACACCTCTCAATCTTCCCTGAAACTTGAGCCCAGCCCCGAAGCAAAGCTGAGTTGATGACTTCAGTAGGCTCGTCCTCTGGCTGCAACTGGCCTGAGCTCAGAGTTTGACTCACCGCAGCGCGCAGCTGAGCACACAGAGCCGGGCTTTGAGACAAGGCCTGATGTATCAATTGATGCGATGGGCGTGGTGTCCGCTGCCCACGTGGCACATGTTTCTTGCTCGGCGTGGGAAGCCAGGCCTCAATGGGCAAGTGCCGCATGCCCGAAGTGGGCACAAAGGGGAGTCGCCACAGCGGACGAGCCAACCTGGACCTAGGTGTGGAGTGATGCTGTCTGGTGAGGACAAAATCAATCTGTGTGGCATGGGTTTTGCCCTTCGTCGTAGAGAGAAATGTAGCGCAACTACCACGTCTGGACCAACTGTTGAGAGTTGTGAGTCCGAATCGGTGCAGAATGCCTTCGAGTCTGCAATAGTCAGTCTGAGGCACTGGCTTGTCAGCCTTGAGCACTCCAGGTCCTATAAAGGGGTCGTCTGGTCTGCATTCTGTGTTGAAGTCACCCCAAACAACGACCAAACTACGCCAGGGGACCCTGTGCAGGACCTGTTGGAGTCTCTCCCAGACTCTCTCGCGCTTCTCCTCTAGGCTGGCACCAGCATTCTGATTCGCAGGTCCTGCGGGACCTGAGCGTTGCCAGCAGTGTTGGTACAGGGTAATTATCTCAAGCGCTGGCTCGAATGAGAGTCGGACATGCATCAAACGGCCAGGCACCACATGATCAACCCTGATTTGGTCATCACCGACAAAGCTACGATGGAGCATGAGCAGGAGCCCTCCCTGTCGGGACCCAGTGCCACTATGGATGCACCAGTACTCATCGCCTTTCCATTCACTGGTGAAGCTCCAGTGAGTTTCTTGAATGGCCAGGGCTTGCACCGTCAGTCCTTGTTGTCTTTGCCCGGCCAGCCACAACTCAATCTCTGCCAGCTTTGCGGAGCTGAGACCGCCAGCATTCCAACACAAACCCCTCCAATGATTTTTGGCGTGTGGGGTGGGCTGCACGTTCTGCCGGCACGGATTGTCCATAGAAGGTTCGTCAACTGATCCCGTACGTGGGTCTCCGATGGTGGCTGCGGTGTGTAGCCTACCTCTGTACCACGTTTGACCGTGTTGTTGCACACGGTTGAGAGCGCGGATAAAGGATCGCTTTCTGAATGCTGGCTCGCGGGTTTCTCGGCTCAGCGTGTGTGTCTGGTATGTCACATCTTGTTTAAAAGATTCGCTGTTCTTTGTCGCACCGTGCGACACTGCTCCAGAACCTGGAGAATTGACTTCAGAGGGCCTAGCGACTCTGCCCTCAACCCTCGGCTTCACTGCAGCGGCAGCCTGACAGCAAACTAAGCAGGCAATGAGCCTGAGCATCCAGCAACATCCTGGACGCCATGTGCCTGTGCTGCAGCCCCCGGGTTTGGGACCGGGGCTGGCTCTGCTATGAGTGATTGGTGAGACAGCTTGGCGTGTGTGGCGGGCTTTGCTTACTACCTGAGGTTCATCATAGGCAGGAGTGCTCACGCAGAGTATCTTCGAGCCCTGCCGACACTTGATGTGTGCAGTGGTGCCCACCCTGCGGCCTGTACTCCAGGGTTGAGGCCGAGCACACCTGGAGTCCTGAGGTCGAGGAGGTACGCAATTGCCTCTTCTTCTGCGTTGGGCAGTGGAAAGCTTGGCGGCTAGGCAGCGCGCTGCAGCACTCCGAACTGTCCAAGGCCACCGCCTTCGCACATAGGCACCGCGACAGACCTTAGTAACAAGCCATCGAAATTTGCGTTCACGTCGGAGGCTGCGCAAAAGGTTTGAAAGCATGCAACTGACAGCAACAAGCATGGCAAGGAAGAAGGGTCGCTGCGCACATGCACTCTGCAGCATCTTTCCATATAGGCTCTTCGCCCAGTCGGTCGACGAGTGCGTGCTTTCCAAGAGCGCCTCTCGCAAGCATCGCCGCAGATAGGCCAGTCGTGGCTCATCAGGGCCTTGTCCGGGGTAGCCTGCATAGTCATCTGGAATTAGCTCCTCATCTGTATGGGCCTGTGTCTGCAGCGCTCTGGGCCGAGGCGGCGTGGGTGGACGCCGGCGTTTCTTATCATGGGTCTGTAGCTCTTCGCTGCTGGATGAAATTACATCGGCATCGTCAACCAACGTAGCAGTACCCTCAGCGACACGATTGCTCCCACTAGAGGGAGGATCAGTCACGGCTTCTGCATCCACTCCCCCAGCAGGTACATCTCGGTACCGCAGGTCGTCATCATCATCCATCCTGGGTCCATGGTCAGTCCTACATGGCACGTGCGTCAACGGAAGACCTGCCAAGCCAGAGCTACTCGAGGTAGAAGGGTGGGTTTCGCCATTGGTGGAGGCTTCCCACTCATTCACGACGTCGCCGGTGTTAGAGCCAACTACATCTCCAGTAACGTCCGCATCGTCAGTCCCCTCCACATCTGCCTCGGGGGGAGCCACTGCATTCTCTGTAGCACTCGGCTCCGTAGCAGCTTGTCGCTCTCGCTTCCCAGGGCGTCGCCTCTGGCGCCGCTTAGACGCTGCACTATGGCCCATGGTCCACTTAGCCAAACTAATCACATGCTCTTGGAGAAAAGGGTCCTTGGGGAGGAGGCAGTGATCGATGTGGAATCTCAGGACACTCATAAATGCACTTACAATCCCAAAAGGCCTACAACTCAACCCTCGAAGCCCAGCTGCGCAAGCAGATTCGAATCTGTTGGGACTCCACTGAGAAGGCAACCACAAGTGGCAGCACTTGACCAGGGCCAGGGATCCAGCTTGAATGAGCATCTGATTGATGTGACAACTCCTCAGACCAAGCCAACTACAAACAAGGCTATGCCCCTCGCCACCTCTTATGCACACCTCGTTCAGGCCAAGTGCACCGCTACACTGCAATCGGACCTGAGTGACAAAGAGTGACTTACACTCAGGTGACGATCCTATCACACCAAGCTCAGGCAGCCACGGCGAGGCGGGACCCCTCTGCCAGGCACAGCACAAACTAGTTCTTGGCCACGGTGACTCTCGGAAGCAAGTACGTGTCTGAGGTGGCCGCGGCGAGGAGAAGCCCTCAATTCCGGACCTTGCCAGGATGGCAGAGTCGAGAGCATGTGGGTTTACATACTGCTTTGCTGGGCCCGTCACCGGCGAGGTAGGCACCTCAATCCAGTTGGAACAGCCTGGACCAGGACGCATTTTCCCCTGCCCACTTTTATCACCATCACTGTCACTCGGAACTCCGACCTTGCACACTCGTAGCTCTGGCGAGGTGTACACCTCAATCCAGGGCCTGCCATAACAAATGGCATAGGGGTATCCATCCCTCTGTCTGAGGATGAGATAGCACGCTGCACTGGGTAAGTCAAGAAAGGCAGTATCCAGACCCTTTACAATCAGCGAACCATCCCACTCTCCACGAGAAAAGAGTGCAGTATCAGCGCCTGTGACGCCAGCGTCAGAGCGGCATCGGGGGTAACGATCACTTTCAATCAGGACTGCAATTGATCGGTGCTCAAGTCTCTGCTGCATTACTGCGATAATGTGCGGCATCGCTGCATGCTGAGCGGAAGCGAGCAAGAATGTCGATTGCTTGAGTTGACTGTTGCGACCATGCAGTGGAACGGTGCTGCACAACCATAAAACACGAAGTGTTAGACTGAAGCGCATAGGAAAAGCCATGGCACTACCACGCCCGCAGCCCTACCACTCAACTCAACAAAAAAGCCTGAGCCAGA